TAGTAGTAGTAGTAGTAGTAGTAGTAGTAGTAGTACCAATAGTAGTAGTAATAGTAGTAGTAGTAGTAGTAGTGTTGGTGGTAGTAGTAGTGGTGGTAGTAGTAGTGGTCGTAGCAGTTTAGAAGTATTAGTAGTATTATTAGCATGAGTAGTAGTAGTAGTAGTAGTAGTAGTAGTAGTAGTAGTAGTAGTAGTAGTAGTAGTAGTAGTAGTAGTAGTAGTAGTAGGAGTAGTAGGAGTAGGAGTAGGAGTAGGAGTAGGAGTAGTCGTAGTCGTAGTCGTAGTCGTAGTCGTAGTCGTAGTCGTAGTCGTAGTCGTAGTAGTAGTAGCAGCAGCAGCAGCCGCAGCAGCAGTAGTAGTAGTAGTAGTAGTAGTAGTAGTAGTAGTCGTAGTAGTAGTGGTAGTAGTCGTCAAATCTTATTGGTCGTGGTCATGGTCGTAGTGGTAGGGTCTGGAGGAGGAGGAGGGTCTGGAGGAGAAGGAGAAAGAGGAGAAGGAGTAGGAGGAGAAGGAGGAGCTGGATCAGTGTTAAACTAAGTATCATCAAGGACCTTTTTTTGTCACACTCATGACAAATGCATTTTCCGTATGCCCAATCGAGGATTCTTCTCAACTGGGGGAACGGCCCTGTTGGAAGACAACCGTTTGAAGGTCTGTGAGGGTGCCAAGCACCTTTTCTGGGTCTTCAACTCCGCGAGTCAACGTAACTGTCGCGCTTTGACAGTCCTGAATCGTTCCCAAACCTGATTTCGGGTACGTTCGCCATCCGAACCTGTGAAACTCTTGTAATATGTTAAAACGAATGTGCGTGCGCTAAGGCGACAGCAGCATTTTGAAAAGGAGCCGCCCTCCGTCCGTGAAGCTGTAGCAAATTTTCAAGAAGAGTGTGCGAGCCGCTAGGCGCCGAAGACACATTTTGAAAACGACCCGCCCTCCATCCGTGAGGTTATTGCAAATTTCTAAAACGAGTGTGCGCGGCGCACAGGCGAGTGCCGCATTCTGAACACCGCCCTCCCTCACTCAGTGAAGCTACTGGACGAATTTGCGCGGCGCTAAGGCCAGAGTCACATTTTGAAAACCGCCCGCTTTGAATTCTTGAAGTTCATGCATGTTTTCAAGACGAGTGTGCGCGGCATTTAGACGAAAGCCTAATTTTGGAAACGGCCCGCCCCCATTTGTGAAACGGTTTCCAATGATCAATTCAACATTCTAGATCATTAACGATGAGGTAGTCTCAGGCGAAACGCCCGGCCCGCTTTTTCCACTGGCCTCGGGGTTCGACAGGGAGGAGTTACTCATCAGGATAAGGAATGGAGGACGAGGAGGAGGAGGAGAAAGATGGCGAGGAGAAGGCGAGACGGGTGAGGGGTCGGGCGAGGAGGGCAAGGACGGCGCCGCCCCCGCGGCGCGAGGCCGGCGATGTCCGACGGCCGTGGCGCGCTGCAGGTGGTGGCCGGGCCGGAGGCCGCGCGGGCGCCGGCTTTGGCCTCCTCGGGAATGGCTTCGCCGCTGTCGTACCAGTCCTTATCAGCGACGTCGTCGTCGTCGTCGTTGTCCGGCGTCCGCCTTATCAGCGACGTCGTCGTTGTCGTCGTTGTCCGGCGTCCGTCGTCCGTCTCGTCCTTCGTCCGTCGTCTGTCGCCCGTCGTCCGTTCTCGGTTGTCAGTCGTCGGTCGTCGGTCGGAGGGCGTCGGTCGTCGTCGTCGTCGTCGTTGTCGTCGTCGTCGCCGCCGCCGTCGTTGTCGCCGTCGTCGTCGTCGTCGGTCGTCGTCGGTCGTCGTAGGTCGTCGTCCTCCTCGTCGTCGTCGTCGTCGTTGTCGTCGACGTCATTGCCGACGTGTTGGAGGAGTAGGAGGCGCAGGAGGATGCGGAGGAGGAAGGGGACAACGACAACGACCACGACGACGATGACGACGATGATCTGCTGCTGCTGATGATGGTGGTGATGATGATGGTGAAGGTGATGATGATGATGATGATGACGATGACGATGACGATGATGCTGATGATGAGGATGATGATAATGATTATGATGATGATGATGATGATGATGATGATGATGATGATGATGATGATGATGGTGGTAGAGGTTGAAGTGGTGGTGGTGGTGGCTGTGATGATGATGCTGATGAGGATGATGGTACTATTATATATTAGGATCATTATAATTCTTATTTTCATTTTTCGGATTATTACTATGACTATTCTTATGGTTGTGGTGGTGGTAGGGGAGGAGGATAGTGATGAGGTGGAGAGAGAGAGGACAAGGAAGACGCTGATGAGCTTTCGGGAGGATGAGGACGGGTAGGCGACGGAGGAGTAGGGTAAGGAGAAGGACGACGATGCCGATGCCAATGATACTGAAGGGGGACGAGGACCCCGATATGCCATGTCGTGGACATCACGGCTGGAGCTCTCGATCCCATTCTTATGCTTATATTCCCCAATCAGAGCTTGCCTCTTTAGGGGTTCTAGCGGATTCACATGGTTAGGTGAGTTTTGCCACCGATTTCCGCGGCCCGCCCGGGTGCCCGGGTGCCGGGTGCCCAGGAGCCCGGGGTGCTTGGGTGCCCAGGTGCCTTACAGCCCTATAGCCCTATAGCCCTATAGCCTTATAGCCCTATAGCCTTGTAGCCCTATAGCCTCATAGCCCAATAGCCCTATAGCCCTATGGCCCAATAGCCTGATAGCCCTATAACCCTAAAGCTTCATAGCCTGATAGCCCTATAGGCCTATCGCCCGAGAGCCCTTTGGCCCTATAGCCCTATAGCCTTATAGCTCCTTAGCCTGATAGTCCTATAGCCCAATAGTCCAATAGCCCTATAGCCCTATGGCCCCATATCCCTGTAGCCCTATAGCACTATAGCTTTATAGCCTTATCGCCCTGTAGCCAGATAGCCCTATAGCCTTATAGCCCGATAGCTCTATATGCCTATAGCCCGAGAGCCCTATAGTTCCATAGTCCTATATCCCCATAGCCCTATTGCCCTATGGTTTCTATAACCCTACAGCCCCATAGCCCTATAGACTCATAGCCCTAAGGCCCTATAGCCCTGTGGCCTCATAGCCCCAGAGCCCCATAGCCCCAAAGCCCCATAGCCCTACAACCCTATAACCCTATGGGCCTATAGCCTTATAGCCCTATGACAATATGGATCTAGAGCCCTCTGGCCCTATACCCCTATAGTTCCATAGCCCTATAGCCCCATTGCCCTATCGCCCTATATCCCAATAGCCCCATAGCCCCAAAAAGACTTAGATTGTTTTTCTTCGGTACCAAATTTTTCTTGCGGGATCGGTTTGTTAGGGTCCTGGGCCTGAAGCGGGGTAAATACGCCCATCTTGATTTTACCCCTGCGGCTGGATCCGATGGATGAGTAGAAAAGGGAGGATGATGACGACGGCCACGATGGCCACGGCGACGGCGGCGAGCTCGAACCCTGCTTCATCGCCATCGTCGCCCTCCTGCTCCCCTTTCTGTAGGGGGTGGGAGAACGACGACAGCGAGGTCGGGAAGGATGTCGAGGATGATAAGGACGGAGTCGACGATGCCAACGGCAGCGCACTGCATCGGCTGGAGCGATCTTGAGATCCCACGTTACGAACAAACATGCAACATCGTAAAACAACCCGACAGGATCCCTGGACACCATGTTGCTGTGCCGCAGTCTCCGAGCTGGCTCGAGCCGTGAGGGTCCTGGAGCCCGCAGCCGTGCAAAGTCGTCCGCTTTGCATCAGATGCGACGCCAGGATCCCAGGGGACGGCGCCCACGGCGGCGATGGCGGCGGCGATGACGGCGGCGGCGACGAGGAGGACGAGATTGACGGGTACGACGACGGCGGCTGCGGCGGCGGCCGCGGCACGGTCGGTGTCCGCTGCAGCGGCAGCGAGGGACGGCGGCGATGGTGGCGGCGGCGGCGCCCCAGGTCGCCGACCTGGGAGCCAGCTTCACCGGGGCTCCCGTGCGGGTCGCCGGCGTGCGGGAGCTCGGCCCAGTGCAGGAGGAGGAGGAGGAGGAGGAGGAGGAGGAGGAGGAGGAGGAGGAGGAGGAGGAGGAGGAGGAGGAGGGGAGGAGGAGGGGGAGAGGAGGGAGGAGGGAGGAGATGGAGGAGGGAGGAGGAGGAGAGGAGGAGGAGGAGGAGGAGGAGGAGGAGGAGGAGGAGGAGGAGGAGGAGGAGGGAGTGGGGGAGGAAGAGGTGGGGGGGGATGGGGAGGAGGAGGAGAAAGGGAGGAGGGGAGGGGGAGGAGCACGATGACGAGGAGGGGAGTGGGGAAGGAAGGAGCAGGTAGGCCGGAGAAGGAGGGTGAGGAGGAGGAAGAGGAGGAGGATGAGGAGGAGGGTGGGAGGAGGTGTTTGGGTGTATATACCGAGAGAGGGGAAAGAGAGAGAGAGAGAGAGAGAGAGGGAGAGAGAGAGAGAGAGGGAGGGAGTGGGGCGGAGAGTAGGGGAAGGAGGAGCGGGCTGGATAGGTGGGGGATGAGAGGAAAGATGAGGACGATTCTGATGATGACGATGACGATGATGCTGCTGCTGATGATGATGATCATGATGATGATGATGATGACGCTGATGATGATGCTCATGATGATGCTGCTGACGATGCTGATGACCACGATGATGATGCTGCTGATGGTGACGATGATGATGATGATGATGATGATGATGATGATGATGATGATGATGATGATGATGATGATGATGATGAGTAATGATGATGCTGATTTTGATGATGCTGAATCTGATGCTGCTGCTGGCGATGATTGTGATGATGAGGAATATTATGATTATGGTGATGATGATAATTATGATGCTGATGATGCTGATGATGAGGATGGTGGTCATGATGATGATAATGCTGATGATGATGCTGATGATGATGATTGTGGTGGTGATGATGGTGCTGCTGATGATGATGATGATGATGGTGGTGGTGGTGGTGATGATGACGATGGTGGTGATGATGATGATGATGATGATGATTTTGCTGATGTTGATGTTGATGTTGATGTTTTTGATGATGATGATAATGATGATGCTGAGGATGATTATGATGATGATGATGATGATGATGATGATGATGATGATGATGATGATGATGATGATGATGATGATGACGATTATGATGTTGATGATGATGATGATGATGATGATGATGATGATGCTGATGATGATGATGATGATGAGGAAGAGGAGGAGGAGGAGGAGGAGGAGGATGAGGGGGAGGAGGCGCAGGATAAGGAGGAGGATGTGGAGGTGGAGGAGGACGAGCTGGTCTAGGAGGTGGGGAGAGAAATGCAGATGGGATGGAGGAGCCTCTTCCTCCCACTCGTCGAGATCCTGTAGTCGGAGGCTCCGTCTCGCCCGAGGAGGGGAATGAGGAGGAGGAGCAGAAGGTGGATGAGGAGGAGGAGAAGGATGAGGAGGAGGAGGAGGAGAAGAAGGATGAGGATGAGGATGAGGATGAGGATGAGGATGAGGATGAGGATGAGGATGAGGATGAGGATGAGGAGCAGGAGGAGGAGGAGGAAGAGGAGGAGGAGGAAAAGAAGGATGAGGAAGTGTTGCGCTAAAAGGGGGGGGGGGAGAGGGATGCAGATTGGACGGAGGAGGAGCCTCCTCCTCCTACTCGTCGAGATCCTGTAGTCGGAGTTGGCGAACTCCTCCTCCTCCTGCTCCTCCTTCGTATCCTTCCCTTTCCTTCTCTCTCCGAACATCCTCGTCCTTCTCGCCCTCCTCCTGCTTCTCGTCCGTCATTGTCGTCGTCGTCTTTCTCCTCCTCCTTGTCCCCCCCTCCTTCCAGTCTGGAGGGAAGCACACCCAATCGCAAGCGTAGGTTGTGAGGATGGCGAGGGTGAGGAGGAGGACGAGGTGGATGAGGAGGATGATGAGGAGGAGAAGGATACTGAGGCATGTTGTGGTGGTGGTGGTGGTGAGGAGGAGGAAGAGACGGGCGAGTGCGCGCATGACGAGAAGGTGGAAGGCTAGATCGATGCTGGTGACGATGACGATGCTGCTGCTGATGATGATACTGATAATGATGCTGATAATGCTGCTGATGATGATGATGATGATGATGATGATGATGATGATGATGATGATGATGATACTGATGACGCTGACGATGCTGCTGCTGCTGCTGATGATGATGATGATGATGATGATGATGATGATGATGGTGATGATAGTGATGACGACCACCACGATGATGATGATAATGCTGATGGCGATGCTGATGCTCCTGCTGATGATGACGACGATGATGATGTTGATGATGCTGACGATGCTGATGATGGTGCTGCTGCTGCTGCTGCGGCTGATTATGCTCATGCTTATACTGCCGATGATGCTGATGATGCTGCTGCTGATGAGCATGCCGATGCTGATGCTAATGCTGATGCTGATGCTACTGCTGCTACTGCTGATGCTGCCGATGATTGTGGTGATGAGGACGGTGCTGACGATGATGGTGATGATGCTGATGACGATGCTGATGATGAGGATGCCCATGATCATGCTGATTGGGGAGGGGAGACGAGGAGGAGGATCTAGTGATGAGGAAAGGGGAAGGAGGTGGCAGAGGATGCGAGAACGAGAAGACGGGGATGATGCGGAGCAGGATACTGAAACATCTTCTCGGCGCGTAGCGTAACCCCACCAGCATTTTCAGAAACCGTTCCCAAACGAGTTGCTCTGCTAAAAGGGCTGGGTATGACATCGTTCCCCAAGAGGTGGAGGATGAGGAGGAAGAGGATTTGGAGCAGGAGGACGGGGAGGAGGAGGAGAAGGAGGAGAAGGAGGAGACGGAGGAGGAGGAGGAGGAGGAGGAGAAGGAGGAGACGGAGGAGGATGAGGAGGGGGAGGAGGAGGAGGAGGAGGAGGAATGATAAGCAGGCGGATGCTGATGACGACGATGATGATGACGGTGCTGCTGCTGCTGCTGATGATGATGATGATGATGATGATGCTGATGACACTGATGATGCTGCTGCTGATGATGAGGATGCTGATGATGATGATGCTGATGGTGGTGATGATGATGGTGCTGCTGCTGAGGATGGTTATGATAATGATGGTGCTGAAGCTGATAGCGATGTTTTTGCTGAGGAGTACCATGATGGTGGTGCTGATGCTGATGATGATGCTGATGATGCTGATGCCGCTGATAGTGGTGATGCTGCTGATGATGATGCTGATGCTGCTGATGATGATGATGCTGATGATGATAATGATGATGATGATGCTGCTGATGATGATGTTGGTGATGGTGGTGATGGTGATGGTGATGGTGATGGTGATGATGATGATGATGATGATGATGATGATGATGATGGTGATGATGATGCTGATGATGATGCTGATGAGGATGAAGAGGAGGAGGAAGGAGGAACAGGCGGATGAGGAATCGGAGTAGGATGAGGAGGAGGAGGAAGAGAAGGACCAATGTAGGCCCAAGACTCGTCGACAATGTTGCAAGAATCCCTCCTACCAAGCTCCCTCTTCATAGACCCCTGTAAGGGTCCAGTTCCACAGAGGAGTGTCCGGAAGGAAGACACCCGTTTGGAATTCGTGAACTGTGCCACAGCACCTTTCCTGGGACTTGTGCGCCACGAGTCAACGTTACTTTTGCGTCTTAGTGATTTCGAATCGTGCCAGAACGCCACTCCTAGGACTTCGCCGCAAATCAGCGTAACTGCTTCGCCCGGGCAGTCCCACATCGTTCCGAAACACCATGTCTTACACGTTGGCCATGGGAATCCTTGAAGCTGTTGTCAACTCTTAACCTCTTAAGACGGATGTGCGCGGTGCTGACGCGATAGGTACAGTTTGAAAAATTACCGCCCTCCATCCGTGAAGCTCTTGCACATTTTTCAGGCGAGTGTTCGGGGCGCTAAGGCGAGAGCCACATTTTGAAAGCGGACCGCCCTCCATCCGTGAAGCCCTTGCAAATTCTGAAGACGAGAATGCGCGGTGCGAAGGAGAGAGACACCTTCTGGAAACGACCTGCCCTCAAAGTTTGAAGCCCATGCAATTTTTGAGACGAATGTGCGCGGCGCTAATGCGTGGGCATCATTTTGAACGCGGCCCTCCCTCCATCCGCGAAGCTTTCAAAAGGTGAAGGCGTCTCAGGCGAAACGTCTGGCCCGCCCTACTGACGCGTCTCGGGGTAGGGCAGGTGCGAAAAGGAATGGAGCCGGAGGAGGAGGAGGAGGAGGAGGAGGAGGAGGAGGAGGAGCAGGAGGAGGAGAAGCAGGAGGATGATGATGAGGAGGAGGAGGAGGAGGAGGAGGAGGAGGGAGGGAGGGAGGGAGGAGGAGGGGGGATGAGGAGGAGGAGGAGGAGGAAGAGGAGGAGGAGGAGGAGGGGGAGGAGGAGAGGGAGGAGGAGGGCGTGGAGCAAGGCCAGAGGCCTTTTGGATGCCCTTCGGAGTCTCTTTGGATCTGGCTCGAGAGCTTCTTGGAGTTATCGTGGGGCGTCTTGGGGGTCCCTTGGTAGTCCGCGTCTTGGGGGCCTCTAGGGTCCTCCTGGGCACCTCTTGGAGCCGTCTCGGGGCACCCTTGGGAGCCTCGGGGGCCATCTTGGGGCTGTCTTGGAGGAGATCGATCACAGGAGGATCTCCTTAATTAGGGCCCGTCCGGAGGCCAAACTATTGCCACAACCTTAGTAGCCTCAATGGCCTTGTCCTCCTCGCCGAGACCTCTTGAGGCGTTTTGGGTGCGTTTGGGGACCTCTTGGGGCCTCTCGGGGTTTCTCTTGAGCCGTTTGAGTGCCTTGTGGGGGCCTCTTAGTGGCCTTTTGGGGCCTCCTGGGCACCTCTTGGGGCCGTCCTGGGGCACCCTCGGGGGTCTCGAGGTCCATCTTGGGGCCATCTTGGAGGAAATCGATCAGAGGAGTGGGGGCTCCTGAGCTAGGCCCCCCTCCAGAAAATGTAGCCACAACCTTAGTCAGATCAGTGATTTTGGCCTTTTGGCCGAGGCCTCTCGGGGCGTCTTGAGGGTCTCTTGTGAGCCTCTTGGGGGCCTCTTGGGGGCCTCTTGGGGCCTCTTGAAGCCTCGTGCGCACCTCTCGGGGCTGTCTTGTTGCACCCTTGGGAGCCTCTGGGGCCATGTTGGGGCCATCTTGGAGGAGATCGATCAAAGGAGGTGGGCTCTTCAATTAGCCCGCCCCTCCCCTTGTAGGCGAGAATTCGGCTCTCCCTGATTTAGGCTTCCTCGTCCGTCGAGGACATCTTGGACACTCCAACACCTCGCGGAAGGCCCCGTCCAGAACCAGTGGGATGGGATGGGGTAGGGAGATGGGTCAAGCTACCCACCCGCCCGCAAGTCGTCTAGCTCACTCTTACCCGCCCTCCCAACACATAAGTAACACCCGGGTGTCAGCATATCGTGTAAGAACGCCGTAGGAGCCACGGGTCCCAGATGCACCAGACACCCTGGAGGCCCAGGCGTGCCAGGCGCGCCAGGTGCGGCACGTGCTCCACGTGCGCCCAGTGTTCCACGTGCTTCAGCCGCGCCAGGTGCGCCAGCCACTGGGAACCTATAGGGGCTCCACCTGCGTGCGCCGCAACTCTTGCAACGTCAGCAATTGCGCACGCCCTAGCGCATGCTTGTGGCTGCTGGCCACCGCGCGCGTGGGGCGTTCCTGGGGCTGGTTTGGAAGTCTCTTGGGCCTGGCTTGGAGCTTACCTGGCCAATTTTGGAACCATTCGGAGGCCTCGAAAGCCCGTCGGAAGCGAAAAGGCGAGAATGCAGCAACCACTGATTTGTGAAAGCAGTCGGTCGACCACCTGCGCCCAGAAGGCAGTTGGGATCTGCTGGCACCCTGGCCGTTCCTGGAAGTACCAATGCAAAGTGGTCGCGGGGCGGCCGCGCATGCTCCAAATGTGCAGGCAGAGTGTGTGTGTGTATATTGTATTGTTATTTGACAGGGATGGTAGGGGTGTGTGATCATGGGGTCGGAATTGTTCCGGGTTGGCGGCCGGCCGGGTGGGAGAGGGGGTTTTATATTAATAGGGAACAGTGGGAAACACCTCTACAATGGGGAAGAGGGGCGTTGGAAGAGGACCCCGCCTAAACCACTCACGCCCTAAAGGACTGGTGTGATTTCCGCCCGCGTGGGCTCCAAGTATTGCTTTCCGTAGAGATTGGGGCTCCATTGGGCTCCAATGGAGTCCATTTGATTATGTTGGACTACATTGGAGTCGGGATGACGCCGTTGGGCTCTATAGGATTACATATGTATGCATCGAAATAGTTCCATTGGGCTCCATAGAACTCTACGTGGCTCCATTGGTCTCCATCGGACCCTACTGTACTCCATTCTGCTCCATTGGGCTCCACTGGACTCCATTGGCTTCCGGTGAACTCAATTTGATTCCATCGGAGTCTATCAGACTCCAGTGGACCTCATCGGAATGTCCAATTGACTCATTGGGGGAGGAGGAGGCGTACGAGGAGGAGGAGGAGGAGGCGGAGGAGGAGGAGGAGGAGGAGGAGGAGGCGGAGGATGAGGAGGAGGCGGAGGAGGAGGCGGAGGAGGAGCAGAGCAGAGCAGCATCTCATGGAGTCCCTGTCTGAATGTGGGCTAAACTACCTCGTTAATTCAGACTGTACTCTGAGAAGGTTCCTTCGAAACCAAACCATGTACGATGCGAGCCGAAACAAGGCTCACAGCCCGACCTGCACTGGCCTGGCGAAGGAGGACGAGGATGAGGACGACGGCCGCAGAGGCGGCGGCGGCGAGGAGAACCTGTGGGCCGACATCGTCGGCCTCGTGCGCGGGCAGCAGCTGCTCGAGGCCTGCGGCGCTGGGCTGTAGGGGTCGAGGCGTTTTGGTGGTGTCTGGCGACGACAGTGATGATGAAACAAACTACTGATGATGATGCTGCTGATGATGATGATGGTGATGCTGCTGCTGATGGTGATACCGATGATGATGATGATGACGATGACGGTGGTGATGATACTGATGATGATAGTTATGGAAATGAAGATGGCGATGATGCTGCTGATGATGGTGAAGATGAAGATGCTGGCGATGATGATGACGACGGTGCTGATGATGACGATGGCATGGATGATGATGAGGATGATTACCATGATGCTGCTGACGCTGATGCTGATGATGATGGTGGTGATGATGCTGCTGCTGATGGTGATGCTGATGGTGACGATGACGATGACGATGACGATGAATGTGATGATGGTCATGCTGATGCTGATGATGACGATGCTGATGACGATGATGACAACGACGGGTGACGATGACGATGACGATGATTATGCTGATGCTGATGATGCTGATGATGATGACGACGATCATGATGATGCTGATGCTGATGCTGATGATGCTGACCTTGATGTTGATGAGGACGATGATGATGATGATGCTGATGCTGATGCTGATGATGATGGTGATGGTGATGATGACGATGATGCTGATGATGATGATGTTGATGCTGATGCTGATGCTGATGCTGATGATGACGTTTTGCGGTGTCCGGCCCGGGTTGGGGCTCGCCGATCGAGGCTCAAGGGGCGAGGACCGAGGCTGGAAGGGTCGGAAGGGGGACGCGCTGTCGCCGTCGTCGCTATTGCCGTTTGCTGTGTCCGTTCTGCCGATGCCGCCCTCGTTCTCGTCGTCGTCGTCGTCGCCGCCGCCGCCGTCGTCGTCGTCGTCGCCGTCATCGTCGTCGTCGTCGTCGTCGTCGTCGTCGTCGTCGTCGTCGTCGTCGTCGTCGTCTGTCGTCTGTCGTCTGTCGTCTGTCGTCTGTCGTCTGTCGTCTGTCGTCTGTCGTCGGTCGTCGTCTGTCGTCTGTCGTCTGTCGTCTGTCGTCTGTGGTCGTCTGTCGTCTGTCGTCTGTCGTCTGTCGTCTGTCGTCTGTCGTCTGTCGTCTGTCGTCTGTCGTCGTCCTCTGTCGTCTGTCGTCTGTCGTCTGTCGTCTGTCGTCTGTCGTCTGTCGTCGTCGTCTGTCGTCCGTCGTCGTCTGTCGCCTGTCGTCTGTCGTCTGTCGTCAGTTGTCGTCGTCGTCGTCGTCGTCGTCGTCGTCGTCGTCGTCGTCGTCGTCGTGGTTGTTGTCGTGGTCGTCGTGGTCGTCGTCGTCGTCGTCTTTGTCTATCGAGGATCGATGATCGGCCCTCGAGGATCGTCGAGGTTTCTGGTTGTCACTGGTCCGTCTTCTTATTGACTTCTGGGGGAGACGCCAGGGGGATTCTCCGCAGGGCCGAGGGGCAGCCGAGTTTATGGACCCTACTCGTCGTATATGATTACGGCCGCGGGTTCACAGGCCGCCCCCCTCCCAGATGGGATGGGTCCCAAAGTTCCACAGGCCCTCTCCCCACCGCCCAGATGGGATGGGGGTGGCGACGACGCCGACGCCGACGCCGACGCCGACGCCGATGCCGACGCAGATGCCGACGCCGACGATGACGACGCCGAGGTCGACGCCGACGCCGACGCCGACGCCGACGCCGACGCCGACGCCGACGCAGACGCCGCCTCCGCCGCCGACGTCGACGCCCACGCAGACGCCGCTTCCGCCGCCTCCGCCGCCGGACGACGACGGCGACGACGACGTCGACGACGATGACGACGAGCCACCCCGCACCCACAGGGGGAGTGAGGGGGGGTGCACCATCAGCCTCCATCACGCCACGCCCACAGGGCCACGCCCACAGGGCCACGACCACAGGGCCACGACCAAAGGGGAGGGGGGGGGAGAGATCCCGCTCACGAGGCCTTCGCGAGGATCACGGGCGTACCCATCCAGCGGGGAGGGGGGCTCGATCCCGTAGTAACTGTGGGGGGCGGAGGGGGGGAGCCCTGGATCATATATGAGTCTCGGGGAAGCTTCGGGAGGTTCTGGGGGCTTCGTCGCTTCTGGGCCACGACTACGACGATAATTATGATGATGATGACGATGATGATGATGATGATGGTGGTAGTGATGATGACGAGGAGGATGATCATGATTCTTATGATGATGATTCTGGGGGGGGTGGTCTTTTGTGATGATGATGACGACAAGACGACGGCGGCGACGACGACCAGGATGATGATGACGATGACGATGATGATGACGATGATGATGATGATGATGATGATGATGATGATGATGATGACGAGAATGACGATGATGATGACGATGATGACATTGATGATGAGGATGGTGATGACGACGGTGATGATGATGGTGATGACGATGACGATGACGACGACAATGGCGGTGAAGGTGACGATTATGATGGTCGGCGTCGCCGACGACTTTGGTGATGGTGATGGTTCTAAATGGCGACGACGGGGACGCTGATGATGCTGATATGAGAAGGACGATGAGGAGGCTGAGGAATCGACCCATCATATATAATAGATCTATATATATATGTCATCAACAACATTCCATGATCAGGCTAGAGCTTTCTCAGCATGTATAAGAAAGCTTGGACTTCCGTGTAGACTATGGATTCTGTGGTAGACAAAGAAATACAATCCACAATATGGAAATTCGAGATTTGCCGAAAGCGGGATGTCCACAACAGGGAGCCACAGTTCAGCAGACCATTCAGAGAAAAGAACACCCCGAAACCACCCATAGCCGAAACAACTCATCCGAAATTATCCGTTCCATGGTGCTGACGTTGTCTCCCTTTTGCCTCATACTGCTGTTCCTTCCTCGACGTCGCTAGATCCTCCGTAGCGTCCCAAAAAACCGTATATCGGTTTTTGGCGACTTGTTCTAGTATCTACAATGCGTTCACATTTCTGTGCATACGAACGCATATATGTATGCAAGTTTTGATATACATCAAATCGTAATCTCAGGTACACAGCCATATACTTTTCCTATGCCTCTTCAGACCGTCCAGACACTTCAGATTTCATGTTTTTAAAAAGTTATTGTGCAAGGGCCAGTTCTCGCCATTCTGTGATTTATAGTTGAAAGTTTAGTGGTCCCATTGTCGTTGGGTATGTTGCATGGTGTTCCGTTCGCATTATTGTGGAATTTTCGACATCGTTGTGATCATTTTTCGTATTGTTTTAACGTTTCCCAAATATTCAATAATATTTTTTTGAGTAGCCGTGCAAATGCAAGATTTGGTAACTACCATTCGTATAGATACAATACAGCGTTCCGGTTGTTCCCCCTGATTTTTTTTGCGTTTGAAGTTGTTTGTGTTCAGACTATCTGGTAATCGTCAATGTTGTAAGATTCTGCAAACGTTGAGCGGTCGCTGGTTTCAGATATGTTGCATCTGTCAGGTATGGTGGGGACCGTATTGACTAACCCTAGTACCCGAAAGATAATCATGGTATGCCAGTAGGTTTGGTTGGGTTTTTGTTTTCTACACTTAGTTGATACTGAACGACAGAACTCTGAGCAAGGTGTAACCATGCTACAAAGTGTTTGTAATCACTGGGGGGTCGTTTCTGTAAGTAAGCATGCAAGTGCAAGGCTTGCTAGGTTATCACAACTCGTTTCAGTCATCATTCGATGCTATCGCGGTCTTTTTGTTTCCTGCGCCAGCGCTATACGGAATACGTTTCGCACTATCTTGCATAATTTACCGATCTATAAAGCGTTTCAAACATTGGGCGATCGTCATTTCGAGAAATGACGTACGCACGCGGCTACACCAAAACCATATTCATTACTTCGCGGCTACGACATATCGGCCAGAATGCAGCGCCTCCCGTTATGCGACGGGGCTTCGGTACGACGTTGTCAGTTGCGTTGCGAAAGGAGGCGTCAAAGGGGCCAGTGCGGCCGCGGGCCCCAGTACAATGTTCAGTTCAAGCATTGTCTTGCCCACGTTTCGGGATGGACCGCCCTTGCAAATTCGACCCCGATGATTTTGAAATCCAGTCGAGATCGTTTTTTTGGAGGACGTCCCAACCGCAAACCACACTTTCAAAATCTTTGTTCAAACATTTTTTCTGCCAAACGGTGTGGCCCTTTCGAAGCGAGGGTTTTGCTTGAGATCTCCTCATTAAGCAATCTCGAACGATTTCGAAGCTTTCGGGTTCGATTTCGAAACATCGCTCCTGCAAAAGACCTCCTCCAAACTAGAGTTCGAAAACTTCCTGGTTAGATTTCGAAATGGCGCTTCCGCCCAGGACCTCATCCGACACAGAATTCGGAGCCTGTCAGGTTCGATTTCGAAGTGGCGCTCCCGCCCAGGACTTCCTGCACACTGGAATTCGGCACCCTTTTGGTTCAACTTCGAAATGTCGCTCCCGCCTACGATTTCTGTTGGCGGAAACACGACATGGATCAACATTTCCGTTGCGCCGATGTAATGTGATTATGTTGGTAGTTCTCAGTGTATTCAATGGTATAGTGTGCTTGTGTCTAGCAAATGCTTAGCCAAAAAACCCACGACAGTAATCATACCTTTCAATGTAAATGACTTGTTTATGTGAGTCTTTTCTCTTAAGATTTTATTATTATTGAGAATTATCGTGGTAATGGTGGCATTTTGCAGTCCGAATTCGCTTCTCTGTTTCGTTGCGGGTATGTAGTTATGCAGGTGCAATGTTTGTTCATTTCCCGATCTTTGAATTATAAGGTCGGCAATTCTCATTGTGTGTTGGTCTTGGTCTTGCCAGATGCTCCACGCAGCTCGTTTCTGTTATTTTGTTCTCCCTTGCAGATTCTGACGCGGCCTGGTGTTGCCGGTTTGTGCTTCATGCCCCACTACATGTAGAAATAGGGTATGCTTCGAATCTATCGCCAGTATGTTGGGACATATTTGTTATTCAGTTTCTTAATTTAAATGAAATTTCGCGCCGCTGCACGGCCCAAATTTACTAGTTGTCGGTTCGGGGCCGTTGTTCGGGAGTCTGCCGGCCCTGCCTGGCCCGGCTGCGTGTCTGTGATATGTCTGAATCTGTTCTGGGCACCAGAGTTGGCTCCTGAAGCCTTCAGTCAGGCGTCCGCGCCGCTACAAGTCACACGTTTGCTAATTTTCGGTTTTGGGCCCTTAGGTCGGGGATTCTGCCTGCCCTGCCTTGCCTGGCTGCGTGTCTGTGGTGTGTGCATTGAATATGGTTGTTCCGTCTCCGGGCTTGAAAGCTGGCTTTCCTGCCCTAGGGCCTTCTATTTGCTGGCCGTGCAATGGGTAACACGCAACATAAGTTTTTCCTTTAGTTTTGCAAAGGTCTGTCTTTGAGGATATCAAGTTTAAGGTTATTGCTTCCAAACGTGTCATCTGGTGTTCTTTTTGTTTGTGTATTTTATTGGTAGTTTTCTTCACTAGAAATAGACCTTCAACGTTCGGGTCATTATTTCTGGTTTGTTCGGGTTCGTTCGTTTTTTTTCCCCTGGTTCGATTGGTTCAGGTCCGCTCAGGTTCGGCTCCGCCATTCCATTTCGGTTATCCACGCCCACACGCAATACTGTAAATTTGTGTAGGATTGAAGCTGCATTGTCGTACATGGGGAGGAGGTCTCAGGCGAAACGTACGGTTCAGGTCATGCGTTTGGGGTATGATGGGAATTGCTCAGGGACGGCGCCGACGAGAAAGGTTTCGCATCTAGTACTGTTATGTTTCTTTGAGCCCAGGTCTTTGTAGATTTCCAGGCCCAGACCGCTTGTTAAGAAAACGGGATTTCCAGAGTCTGTGTTCTTGGGCTAAAGTGTTCTGGATCGGAATCTCCTGTGTAGGAGGCGTAGGTGGAGAATGTGATGAGGAGGAGAAGGCAATGAGGAGCGCAGTGCGTTGCCAGCTACCTCGCTTCGCCGACTGTCTCGTGCCTGCTCAAGCTTTTCCAACGCGCCCACCTCGCTCCCTTGCGTTCGGATCGAACCCTAGGGCCACCAGCGTCAGGAGGATGATGATGTGGAGGGGGAGGGCGAGTAGGACGTGGAGAAGGAGGATGAAGAGGAGGAGGGAGGGGACGGAGGAGGGGAAGGGGGAAGGAGGAGGATGGGAAGGAGGAGAAGGGGAGGAGAAGATGATGATGATGATGATGATGATGATGATGATGATGATGATGATGATGATGATGATGATGATGATGATGATGATGATGATGATGATGATGATGATGATGATGATGAGGAGGAGGAGGAGGGAGGAGGAGGAGGAATGAGGATGATGATGAGGAGGATGAGGAGGAGGGGGAGGAGCAGGAGGAGGAGGATCTGGATGGGGGAGGAGGAGGAGGAGGAGGAAGGTCGGCGGTCCAGTTGCTGGAGGGATCGCCCCTTCCTCCGCCGCCGCAGGTCAACGGTGCCCCCGTGTGCACCATGACCAAGGACCCCGTGCGTCCGCGGCGGGCGCGCTCCCGGCCTTGTCCCGTTTGCTCGGTTCGCCGTTGCGTCCTCTCCGCCCTCCTCCTACTCCTCCTCCTCCTCCTCCTCCTCCTCCTCCTCCTCCTCCTCCTCCTTCCCCTCCTGTCGCGGTCGAGGTGTTCCCGACCTCCTCCTTTCCCTCCTGTCGCGGTCGAGGTGTTCCCGATTCGGTCCGTCGGGGAAAGGAGGCTCCCTCGGATGCCTGATGCCGATGAGAGCGCAGTGCCCTCGCGCTCCCTGCGGCCAGGAGGAGGAGGAGGAGGAGGAGGAGGAGGAGGAGGAGGAGGAGGAGGAGGAGGAGGAGGAGGAGGCGGAGGCGGCGGAGGAGGCGGAGGAGGAGGAGGAGGAGGAGGAGGAGGAGGGGAGCCTCTCCGTGGCCCAGCGCTCGCCGTGGCCAGTGAAGCCCCCTCGCTCCCCCGGGCAGGAGTTGCCCGTGGCAGCACGAGGCTGTGATCCTCCCTCCCCGCGCCGCCCCCGACCTCCCCCGCCCTCCCTCCACCGACTTGCTAGTCGGCCGCACGTGCGTGCACTGACTCACCGAGCTCACCGAACTCGCCCGCGGCCGAGCGCCGCCGTGATCTGAAGGCAAGCGCCGTCGTCCCAGTTCAGCAAGCCCATGGCGATGAGGACCAATGTCGCGCTCGGCCTTCCGCGCTGCTGTGGTGACGTCTTCTACTCCGGGTGCAGGAACTCGACGCGAGCTGGCGGCCTCGCTTTCTTGATTTCCAGGGACACTTCGCCAGGGCCGGATCGCGATCAGGTATTGATGGACGTTCTCATATTCGATAGGGTTGCCATTTTGCCCGTTGCGCACGGCGCCGATCCTCGACGTTGCTCTCCTGCAGCCTCGGTGACGCCACCGCTGCCGGCTACAACTAGGACTTGGTTATGTTTCTCATCGTCGGCTCTGGTGGTAGATCATTTGACTCCACTGCCGTACCCACGGACCCTCACCCAGAGCTCGACATGACAAGCTGTCCTGCTGGCGGGACGACTCGAGTAGCACCTTCCTGGAGGTCGGTGAACTTCGTCGGCGTTCTGAGGGCGTCTGCAGGTGACCGGAGGGTCGGGCTTTTCACAGATCCTGGTCTCCCCTCTCACGATCGTCATCTCAACCGCGGTCCTCTTCGACATCTTCCTCCACCTCGTCACGTCCTTCTGACGCCAACCGGCGATCGTCTGACTCGTCGTCGTCGACGTCGTCGTCGTCGTCGTCGTCGTCGTCGTCGTCGTCGTCTTCGTCGTCTTCTGCGTCATCCTTTTCTCCACCTACACCCCAGGCGCGCGGGTGTCACGAGGGGCACTCTCCTGCAGTCGTCCCCTTGAGCATCGACAACTACGGCTTGCTAGCATCAGACAGGCGGAAGGTACCCGTCGCCTGGCATGCGGCGCGCCGGTGGGCGCAAGCTCGCCCGAAGATGCGGCTCTTCCTGGCAGCCGAGCGCGTGAGGCTCCGCGGGGCCGCTGGCGCGGGAGCCTGGGGCAGGGGAACCGGGAGTGGTTCCCGCTCTCGCTTCTGCAGCGGGGGCAACGCCTCCCGCTCTCCCGGAGCAGGCGCGCCCTGCACCAGCTCCATTCATCTCCTGCTGCTTCGGGTCCGTGGTGACTTCCGGCACCACGTTGAGCTCCAGTCGACCTTGACCTTGAGCTCCTTCTCGACCTTCACCTGGGGGGGTGGCGGGGCTGGCGGCGCCGCCGCTCCGGCCCATGCTACCCTGAGCGCCTGTCCCGCCACGCGGAGGCGCTCCCGCCTGCACTGCCCACCGCACCTCGGCCGCGACCTGCGCCTGGACGTACGCCGGCGGGTCCCATACGCCCGGCGGCCCCGCGCTGCTGCCGGAGCCGCTCGCTGCGCTGCGCGCCGCCTCCCATGCTCCACTCATGGAGATATCGCGGCATTGGGGACGAAGAGGGAAGGGGGGCGGCCGCCGAGTGCACGGTACCAATGCCTTGAGCCAAAATGGCTTGAGACAAAATGGCTACGAGGAGGAGGAGGAGGAGGAGGAGGAGGAGGAGGAGGAGGAGGAGGAGGAGGAGGAGGAGGAGGAGGAGGAGGAGGAGGAGGAGGAGGAGGAGGAGGAGGAGGTAGGAGAGGAGGGAGGAGGAGGAGGAGGAGGAGGAGGAGGAGGAGGAGGAGGAGGAGGAGGAGGAGTAGGAGGAGGAAGAGGAGGACGAGGATGAGGCCTTTTGGGAGGGCCACCCCACATGTTTCGTGGGGTTCTGGTTTTCTTCCCTGCCGCGTCGCACCCGCGTACCCCGCAACACACCTCCCTCCTTCCTCCCTCTCCTTCCTCTTCCTTCCTCCCCTCAGTCACGCGCAACACATGCACGGCGCGTACATGAGACACGCGCCTACATACAGCCGCACGCATGCACACACACACACGCACGCACACCATACAACGCTAGTGCGCGCCTGGCGGGTTGACCGCATCGTACACCCAAGACGTATGCGCCACATATAGGTCATCCACATGAGACACACGTCCAAACAAATCCGCACATGCATCATTCACATACACATGACACGCTATACATACATATATAAGACATGCGTGTAGGATTCGCAGTGACGGGCAGGCGTGGCACTTTCTCGACACCAGAGAGAGTGCAGCCGCTATCCGTTTCGGGTTTACAAATTGTGGCAGGGGCGGCAGTTTTTTGATGCCACACAAAGGGGTGTGCTGAGGGTGCGGTCGCTATCCGTTTCGGGCTCGCAAAGTGTGGCAGGCGTGACAGTTTATCGACGTTGCAGGGGGTGTCATGGGTGTGTGGTCGCTATCCGTTTCGGGCTCGCAGGGCCTGGCAGGTGTGGCACTTTCTCGACGCCACGGAGGTGCGCAGGGGGTGCGGTCACTATCCGTTTCGGGCTCGCAACGTGTGGCAAGCGTGGCACTTTCTCGATGCCACAAGGGAGTGCGTTGGGGGTGCGGTCGCTATCCGTTTCGGGCTCGCAAAGTGTGGCAGGCATGGTAGTTTACCGACGCTCGAAGGGATGTCATGGGGGTGCCGTCGATATCCGTTGCGGGTTGGCACTTTCTCGATGCCGCGCGGGGGGTGCGGTCGCTATCGGTTTCGGAGTCACATCGTGTGGCAGGTGTCGCACTTTTTCGACGCCACGGAGGTGCGCAGGGGGTGCGGCCGCTATCCGTTTCCGGCCCGCAACGTGTGGCAGGAGTGGCACCTTCTCGACGCCACAGGGGATGTTATGGGCGTGCGGTCGCTATCCATTTCGGGTTCACAAAGTGTGGCAAGTGTTGCACTTTCACGGAGGTGCGCATGAGCCCACGCACCGAGCGAATGAGGAGCACCCGGCTGTCCGGGCAGGGATGGGCCTGCCTCGGGGGGGGGGGGGCGCATCGACCCCTCCAGTTGCCCTGCCCGCCGCCGGCGGGAGCTCGCTCCTCGGTGCTCCTCCTCGCCTCCCCTCCCCCTGGCTGCCCAGGAGGAGCTGCGGGACGCCCTCCAGGCGCGGCCCGTGGAGCTGCGGCTGGCGCACTGCCGCACGACTGGGGACTCCTCGTGGGAGGCCGCCCCGAGCTGTCCTCGTCGTCCTCGTCCTGTCGTCGTCGCCGTGTCGTCGCCGTCGTCGGCCCCGTCGTCGTGGACGTGGTGGTCGTCCTCGGCCTCGTCGTCGTGGACGATGTGGTCGTGGTCGTTGCCGTAGTCGAGGTCGGGGGCGTGGTCGTGGTCGTGGTCGTTGTCGTGGTCGTCGTCGTCGTCGTCGTCGTCCTCGTCGTCGTCGATGACGTTTTAGTCGTCGCCATGGGGACGACACATGTCATTCCCCCCCCCTCCTCCCCGCCTCCTCCTCCTCCTCCTTCCTCCTCCTCCTCCTCCTCTTCCTTCTCTTCCTCTGCCTTGTCCTTCCTTCTCCATCCAACTCCTCCCTCACCGTCTGTAGGAGAACGCTCAGGTGGGAGGGAGAGGAGGGAGAATGGAGGATGCCAACGAGGGGGAGGAGAGGAAAGTGCGCAGGGAAAAGAGAAGGAGAAGGAGACAGATAAGGAGAAGGAGAAGGAGGAAGAGGGATACGTGGGGACGAGGGAGGGGAAAGGGAGGGAGGAGAGGAGGGGGTGAGGAGGGGAGAAGGGCAAGGAGGAGCAGGATGAGTAGTAGGAGGAGGAGGAGGATAATGATTAGGGGGGGGATGATGATGCGGAGTGGGAGAAGGAGGTGGAGGATGAGGAAGAGGAGGAGGAGGTGGATGATGATGATTGTGATGATGATGATGATGATGATGATGATGATGATAATGATGATGATGGTGCTGATGATGATTGCTGCTGCTGCTGCTGATAATGATGCTACAGATGATAATGATGACGATGATAATGATGACGATGACGATGACGATGGTCATGATGATAGCGATTATGATGCTGCTGATGATGGTGATGGTGGTGATGATGATGCTGCTGATGATGATATCATTGATGATTGGGGATCGCTGTGATTATGATGATTATTATGATGTTGTCGGGGATGCTGCGGCTGGACAAACTGATGAATGTGATGAATGGTGATGATGATGACGAGGCTGATGTGGACGATGATGTCGATCATGATGAAACTGACGATTCTCGCTTCTGCTGAAGACGACGAAACGTCGATGATGATGATCATACTGATGACGATGATTATGATTATGATGATGATATTGGTTATGATGGATGGATGGTGCTGATGATGAACGGGGGGAAGAAGAGGATGATGATAATTCATTCTGATGATGATGCTGATGATGATTATGCTGATGATTATGATGATGATGCTGATGATGATTATGCAGATGATGATAATGATGATGCTGATTATGATGATGAGGATGCTGATGATGATGATGCTGATGATGATGATGATGCTGATGATGATGATGATGATGATGATGATGATGATGATGATGATGAGGATGAGCATGAGGATGAGGATGAGGATGAGGATGATCATGATAACGATGATTGTAATGATGATTGTGACGACCGAGCGACGACCGACGACGAGGAATTCCCCAATCAGAGCTTGCCTCCGTAGGGGTCCTAGCGGATTCATTCCCCAATCAGAGCTTGACTCCGTATGGGACGGTCCTAGCGGATTCATATGGTTAGGTGAGGTGGGCCGCCGATTTCGGTGGCCGGCCCGGCCGCCCGGGTGCCCGGTTGCCTGTGGCCCGGCCCGGCCGCCCGGGTGCCCGGCCGCCCGGGCGCCCGAGTGCTCCATCGCCCTGTGGCCCTACAGCCCTATAACCCTACAGCCCTATAGACCTATAGCCATATAGCCCTATAGCCCTATAGCGCTATAGCCCTATAGCCCTATAGCCATGTAGCCCTATAGCCATGTAGCCCTATAGCCATATGACCCTATAGCCCTGGAGCCCTAGAGCCCTAGAGCCCTATAGCCATGGAACCCTATAGCCCTATAGCCCTATAGCCCTATAGCCCTATAGCTCTATAGCCCTATAGCCCTATAGCCCTATAGCCCTATAGCCCTATAAGCCTATAGCCTTATAGCCCTCTAGCCCTATAGCCCTATAGCCCTATAGACCTGTAGCCCTACCGCCCTATAGCCCTATAGCTCTATAGCCCTATAACCCTATAGCTCTACAGCCCTATAGCCCTATAGGCCCCTTATCTTACAGCCCTATAGCCCTACAGCCCCATAGCCCGATAGCCCCAAAAAGATTAGGATGTGGTTTTTATCCGGTATCACATGGTTAGGTGAGGCGGGCCGCCGATTTCGGTGGCCCGCCTGGGTGCCCGGGTGCCCGGGTGCCCGGGTGCTCTATCGCCTATAGCTCTATATCCTTGTAGTCTTATAGCCCTGTAGCCATATAGCCCTATAGCACTTTATTCCGATAGCCTTATAGCCCTATAACCGTACAACCCTATAGTCCTATAGCCCTATAGCCCTATAGCCCTATAGTCCTATAGCCCTAGAGCCCTAGAGCTCTATAGGCCTATAGCCCTGTAGCCCTATAGCCCTATTGCCCTGTAGCCGTATAGCCCTATAGCCCTATAGCCCTATAGCCCTATAGCCCTATAACCCTATAGCCCTATAGCTCTATAGCCCTCTAGCCCTCTAACCCTATAGCCCTATCGCCCTATAGCCCTGTAGCCCTATAGCCCTATGGCCCTATAACCTTATAGCCCTGTAGCACTATAGCCCCATAGCCTTAAAGCCCTATAGCCCCATAGCCCTCCAGCTGCATAGCCCTATAGCCTGAAAATGATTGTGATTGGGCTTTTCTCCGGTATCTTAAAGATCTGATGATGCTGATGACGATGTGGACGATGCCGTGGATGAATCTGCTGCTGCTGCTGCTGCTGCTGATGATGATGGTGATTGTGGTGGTGGTGGTGATGAGGCTAAGAAGGAGGAAGAGGAAGAGGAAGAGGAGGAGGAGGAGGAGGAGAAGGCGTTGGAGGAGGAGGAAGAGGAGGAGGAGGAGAAGGATGAGGAGGAGAAGGATGAGGAGGAGGAGGAGGAGGATGAGGAGGAGGAGGAGGGAGGCATTTTGGAGGATGGCGAGGAGGAGGAGGAGGAGCAGGAAGAAGAGGAGGAGGAAGAGGCTGACGGAAGAGGGGCATGAGGATGAGGATGAGTATTTGGATGAGGCTGAGAAGGAGAAGGAGGAGCAGGAGGAGGAGGACCAGGAGGAGGAGGAAGAGGAGGAGGAGGCGGAGGACCAGGAGGAGGAGGAAGAGGAGGATGATGATGATGAGGGAGGAGGAGGAGGAGTAGGAGGGATGCCAAGTTGGCCAGGTGAAGCGAACCAGAGGGTGGGGCCTGTTCCTACTCTCCCTTCCACAAGATGAATTCATTGTGGCTCAACTTGATACATATGCATCTGAAGTTGTACTAACACAATGAGCACCAGCATCTATATATACATATACACATATACATACACATATATATATATATATATATATATATATATATATATAGATATAGACATTCAGAAGATTGACTTGGAACATCCCAGGTGTGGCCAGGAGGCCTGATTCAGGAGCCCTTCAGGAGGGCCCAATATTGCCCCAGATGGTCCCACGAATGTCCCAGAGGGCCCCAGGAGGCCTCCAGAGGGCCTGGCGAGGGCTCCCAGACGGCCACATTGGGCCCAAGATGGCCCAGGATGGGCCCAAGATGGCCACTCGACGGCCCAACGGCTCCCCAGCTGGCTCAAGCGGGCCCGAAGACGACGCCCAAGAGGCCCCTGGGAGGCGCAAGTTATGTGTTTCCTTCGGTTCCGGTGCAATTTTCGCAGTCTCGGCTTGTCGGTATCTAGATCGCCCGAGACGGCCGAAAAGGCTCCCGAGATCGCTCCAAGACGGCCCAATAGGCGCCCAAGAGGGCCCCAAGACGAGCCCAGGACGGCCCAAGAGGGGCCCAAGACGGCCCCAACAAGACGCTCCAAGAGGGTCCCCAGAAGGGCTCCAGACGGCCCCAGAGAGCCCCAAGACAGCCCAACTGGGCCCCCCAGACCGCCCCAGGACAGCCACCAGAGGCCCCCAAGATTGCCCTGAGGAACCAAGACGGCCCCAGAGGGCCCGAAAACGGCCCAGGAGGCCCCAAGACGCACGCATACATATATACGTACACGCATACATACATACATGCATATATACATACACACTTATATACATGCATGCTTGCATTGATGCGTACACATACATGCATACATTCGTACATACATACATACATACATGCATACACACGTGCATACACACATACATACGTACATGTACGCACACATACATGTGTATGCATGCATGTCTGTATGCATGCTTGTATGTATGCAGTTATGTGTATACTGCCTGTATTCATGTATGCATGTATGCATGTCGGCATGCATCCATGCATGTCTGTATATATATATATATATATATATATATGCATGTATGCATGCATGCATACATTCGAATGTATGCATGTATGCATGCATGCACGTTTGTATGTATGAATGAATGAATTTAAATAGGCATGCACGTATCATGCATGTATGAATGTATGTATGCATGCGTGTATGCATGTGTATATGTATGAATATACATGTATCTGTATTGGTGTCATAATGCCTATATGTAAAATTACCCCGGCAAAGCAACCTAACAGCGATGTGTAGGAGCATATCTGGAAGCATTCCCCTTAAGATTCAAATGAGAATCCAGTTGTAGAATTGTGCTGTTCTCGCAGTCGTAGTCGCATTCGCGATGACAGTCGCAGTGGCAACGGCAGTCACAGACACAGCCTCAGCCTCAGCCTGCCTCAGCCTCAGCCTCAGCCTGCCTCAGCCTCAGCCTGCCTCAGCCTCAGCCTCAGCCTGCTTCAGCCTCAGCCTCAGTCTGCCTTCAGCCTCGGCGTCAGCCTCAGGCTGCCTCAGCCTCAGCCTGCATCAGCCTCAGCCTCAGCCTCAGCCTGCCTCAGCATCAGCCTGCCTCAGCCTCAGCCTCAGCCTGCCTCAGCATTCAAAATGTGGCCCGGGAATGTAGTTCTGGGAACTCGAAGAACACGAAGTGGCCTACAGTTG